AGCTGGGGGTCGGCCTCTCCGCGTTGGGGTGCTTCGACTGCAGGCGCTGTATCGTCCCCTGTGTATCTGGGGCTGCCTCCGCGGACTCGAGAGCCGCGCACGCCCGTGAGGTCTCATTGCACGCTGCCAGACGAAGGCAACGTGCCATGCGGCGCTCATCTGCTGTAGAGGGATCGGTGGCGGGTGCGTGACCGGTGGACCTGTGCGCCGAGGAAGGGGTGTGCGACGGCCCTAGTGCATCTGAGACTAGCTCAGCCCACTCACCTCGACCAAAGCAGGAGATGCGCGCTGCAATGGCAGCCGTGTGCGAGCGGTCGGGTGGCGTCGCTGGAACAAGGAAAAGAGTCGGCGCTGCAGCGAGGAGGAAGGTAGGGCCAGCAGCCTCCGGGTCCTGGGCAATGCGGACTAGGATCGCACTGAGGACGTCAAGATATCCTCCGCGGACCCTCTCCGGGACACGTCGGAGAGGGCGTGTATGGATACGCTCGGGCGAGAAGTACTCTGTCCAGTCCACCGAGTCGAGCGTCTGCCACTGTGCGTCGGTGAACTGCATCCCGGTCGCACGGGGCTGTGAGAGGGAAGGGATGATCGAGGCGGTATCATGGGCAGCCTGCGCCCTGCGAGCCGCGTCCGCAGGATGGCAGAAGGGAATGTGGTGCTGGAGCGCGCGTCGGTTCGCGAGAGAGCTCCTGCAAGTGGGGCAACTCACGACCTGATCGGGTGATGTCGCCGTGTCGGCGGGGGTCAATCGGGGCCGTGGCGTCGGAACTGGCTGTAGAGGGGACCCCGTGGGCGGCCTGAGCTCCGAGAGGATCGCCTGGGATGAGGGGAGGAGACGGCTCACCAGCCCCGCGCGGGGGGGGTGTCAGCGAAGATAGAGGTGGTGTCGCACAGGATAGGGCCGGGCCTCGTGCCGGTACCGGTGTCGAAGCTGGGGAGGGGGGACGTGGAGGTGAGCCTGAAGTGTGTGCCGTGGTGTGCTCCTGCCCCTCGGCGGGGTGCGGTTCAAGTGACCGCTCTGCTACCCCAGGCGGAGGGGTCTCGGTAGGGGCGGATGCCTCATCCCTACTGCTGGTGACCTCCTGCGCCACGGGCTGAACGGGGGGAGGCGCCACCCCGTCTAGGTGCGAGTGACACGGCCTCAGAACCCGGTCCGTCTCCATTGGGGTCGGGAGTGACGCGCCTAGCTGAGTGGCGGGGGGGATAAAAGAAGGGACAGACCGGGTGACCTCCGCATACGTCCGGGTCCGGTCCTGTGGGACTGGAAGGGTGGGGGCAGCCGGAGAGCTGCTCAGGCGGTGTATCGCCAGCAAATCTGAAATGCCAGCCCTCACCTCCTCTGGGGTCTCGAAGACCTGCCTGCCTGTAGGTGAGAGTAGGAGGGCTGGCAGGGTAGAGGGTGGAGTGGGGGCGTGCTGGCTGAGCGGAGCTCGGGTGTGGACCCTGCCCTAGAAGGCCCCCTTGGCCCTCCCCAATCACCATGGGTTGCGGTAGGGGGTCGTCGACATGGAAGGGGTGGGAGGGATGGGAGGGGGAGTCGGTGGCGTCTGCCATGGGCGCATCCCTCAACCCGACGGCCTCCCTCCCAGTAGCGATCGCGGCCGCCGCCACCTGGGAGGGGGACACAGCACGGGAGGGGCAGAATGGGGGTGAGTGGGCTGGACCGCTCCCATGGCCCTGTGGAGGTGCAGGAGCGGGGCGGGAGTGTAGGTTTGGTGGTCGGGCTGTAGAGGTAGGGCCTGGTAAGGGTTCAACGGGATGTGAGGTAGGGAGGGGCTCTTGGTGGGGGAGGGAGGGAGGGGGGAGTACGTGGGCTGACCCTCTGCCCCTGTTCTTCCGCCGGCGGCCAACCTGGTTGTCCGCGCCTGTTTGTGAAGGAAGGGGGGGCTGTGGGGCCAAAGGGGTGGGTGGAGGGAGGATGGGTGGTTCGCCAGGCGGGGGGTGCTCTGTGTGCATCCCCTCTCTCCTCGAAACATCCCCCTCCGTGGGAACAGATCGGGCAAGCTGTGTGTGGGGGGTGATGGCTGCCCAACGGGGCCACTCGTGGGGAACCCGGCCGGGAGAGGGGGTTGGAGGTGGGGGTCGAGGGGCTGGGCCAGTGTGGAGGTTAGAGCGAGGTACAAACGGTGGGGGGAGAGAGATTTGTGTGGGCCCTGTGGTGGCCTCTCCTGTGGGCCCCTCTACCCGGGTGCCGCCGCTCCCATGAGCCTGGGGCGCAAGCCCTTGCGGGTGGGTCTCGGCTGCCTGGGGGGGGTGGTGTGGGGAGGGCAGCCTGTTGGGTGGGCGTGTTGGGGCTGTGCGGCGACTCGGGTGGTTTGGGTGCCTGTAGCGTGTGGGAGAGGGATTTGGCCGCAGAGATGCTTCAACCTCCGAGATGTGTGTACTACCGGGTGGGGGGGGGCCTGGTGGAGGAGGGGGTAGTGGGCCGGTAGGGGGTGGCTGGGTGTTGGTAGGAGTCGGGGAGCATGGCTCCTCTAGGAAGACCAGAGCCCTGGCTGCTCCACGTGGTGCTCTAAGGAGCCCCTGAGGGTGGGGGCAGAGGTGTGCTGCCCTTGGGGGTGAAGGAAGGAGTGAGGGAAGGGGCGGGGAGGGGTGAGGTGAGAGAAGGGGTGCCCTCGGGTGGCTCTGCTCTTGTCGCACCCGCGTGCTCTCCCGGTGGACCGCCTGCAACCGTGGGGTCAGGCGTTGGGGACGGAGAGGGGGGCTGGCCATGGAGCAGCGTGGGGGTCGGGGAGCACGGCTCCGCCAAGAAGGCCAGGGCCTTGGCTGCCCCCCTGGACACTACCGGGACCTGAGGGTGGGGGTGGGGAAGTGGTGCTCCTGGGGGTGGGTGGGCTGGAGGACGGGAGGTGAGGATGGGGGCTCCCTCGCGCGGCTCTGTCCTCAAGGTCTCCCCCAGCCCCTCCATCGGTCCTTCTGCTAGCATGGGGACGGGCATGGGGGGGTAGAGGGGGAACCTCGACGTGAGGCTGCAGGGGGGCCGGGTCGGCCTCACCGTCAAGCGTGAGGTATTGGGCCAGTGGCCCGTCAATGTGCATCACATCCTCTCCCTCATCCTCCTCTATCGCTATCACATCCCCCTCTTCAGTGCCCACCCCGGTCGGGACCACACTCACCTCTCCTTCCCCTGTTGCCCCTATGTCCCCCGAGCCCACCCCGCCTGCTGCCGCTTTACTGCTAGCCCCTTTTGCAGTCCCTGCCGGCCCTGCCGGCCCTGCTGTGTGTTTCCCCGCGTTTGCTGCGGCCCCTGCCGCCCCTACTGGCCGTGCTATGGCCCTCCCTGCTGCTTCAGCTGCAGCCTCACCTTCTGCCTTTGAGGCCACTGCTGTCCCCTCTCCCACTCTAGCCCCTGCCGTACCCTCTCTTGCTACAGCCGGGGCGGCACTCTCCCTCGCACCAGTCCCCGTTACCCCCTTCCCCGCTGCACCCGTAGCACCTCCCCCTATACCAGCCCCCACTGTGGCCTCTGTCGCTCCTGCTGCAGTCCTTGCAGCCTCGACTGCTGCAGTCTGTAAAACCTCGCCTACCGTAATCTGCTCAGCCTCACCAGCCGCGATCCTTGCAGCCTTGCCTGCCGCGGTCCCTGCAGGCTCACGTGCTGCAGTCCCTGCAGCCTCACCCGCTGCAGTCCCTGCGGCCTCACCTGCTGCAGTCTGTGCAGCCTCACCTGCTAGAATCTGCTCAACCTCACATGCTGCGGCCTCTGCAGCCTCACCTGCTGCGGCTATTTCAGCCTCACCTGCTGCGCTCCCTGCGGCCTCACCTGCCATGGTCCCGCCTGCAGCCTCATCCGCTGTGGTCCCTGCCGCCTCACCTGCTGCAGTCCCTGCGGCCTCACCTGTTGCAGTCCCTGCGACCTCACCAGCTGTAGACTGTGCAGCCTCACCTGCTAGAGTCTGCCCAGCCTTACATGATGCAGCCCTCGCAGCCTCACCTGCTGCGTCCGCCGCAGTCTCACCTGCTGCGGCCCCAGCAGTCCCGCCTGCTGCGCTCCCTGCGGCCTCACCTGCTGCGCTCTCTGCAGCCTCACCTGCTGCGCCCCCTACAACCTCACCTGCTGCGCTCCCTGCAGCCTCACCTACTGCGCTCCCTGCGGCCTCACCTGCCATGGTCCCTCCTGCAGCCTCACCCGTTGTGATCCCTGCAGTCACACCTGCTGTGGTCTGTGCGGCCTCACCTGGTGCGGTCCCTATAGCCTCCTGTGCTGCGGTTCCCCCAGCCGACACAGCAGCAGGTTCCGTGGCCCCTACTCCTGCAAAACCTGTCTCCATGGCCTCTGCCCTTTGCCTGGCCAGAGTCACGGTCCCTGCCGCCCCTTCCCGTGCAGCCCCTGCCGCCCTTTCCCGTGCAGCCGCTGCTGCCCCTTCCCTTGCAGCCTCTGCTGCCCTTTCCTCTGCAGCCTCTGCTGCCCCTTCCCCCACAACCCCCATTGCCCCTTCCCGTGCAGCCTTTGCTGCCCCATCCTCTGCAGCCTCTGCTGCTCCTTCACACACAAACTCACTTACCCCTTCCCGTGCAGTGTCAGCTGCAAGTTCCCCCCTGGCTCTGCCCTCTCCCGCTTCTATGTGCTTGGGGGTGCGGGTAGGATTAAGTGTTTTCACAAGTAATCTGGTTTGCGAATGGGAGGTAGCGAGTGAGTTGGAGGATCTCTCTACTGAGCATGCATGGGTGCCGCCCCCGCTGTCACCTGAAGGGGGGGTAGGCTGGGATGGGGCAGCGGGGGTAGGGCGCGGTTTTGAGCGTGCTGGCTCCTCCTCATGTATTTCCTCCAGTGGGGCTTGGCGTTCCTCTGTTCCATCCTCTTCAAAGGTACGCTTCTGGCCCCTAGGGTCAGATTGTGTGAGTGTTTTTGCTTGGTCAGGTGTGTGTTGTTTCTTCCTGACTGTTGAAGTGGGGGAAGTGGGAGAGTAGGGGGTGGCTCGGCTGCGGGACCTCCCAGATCGCCGAGGGGCTCCCGAGTCTGCCTTTCCCCCACTCGCGGGGTGCTGGGGCATTGTTACAGAGGCAGCATGCCTAGCGGTGGCGGTGTGAGTTGGCTCAAGAGGGCGTCAAAGGGGGAAGGAACTCCCTGGCAGAGGCCGGGGTGCGGGGGGTTAGCTTGGGGAAAGGGGAAAAGGGTGGGGAAAGCGGTGCGCAGTGGGTGGAAGAGAGGGTAGAGGGGGCCTGACAGTTGGAGGGGATTGGGGCCCAAGGGGGGGGCGGGCTGGGGGCCGGTTGAGAGGGGAAGTGTTGGCGGGCTGTAGTGGAGGTGGGGGGGCAGGGGTGATGTAGCGGTGGGTGAGCAGGGTGTGGGGACAGGTGGTGGGCCGGAGGTGGGGAGGGCAGGGCAGAATTCCACGGGAGGTGGGGGTGGGCAGGTGGAGCCAAGTGGGAAAGGAAGGGTGGGGAACAGAGAGGAAGGGGCAAAGGGTAGTGGGTAGTCGAGTTGGCGTGAGCCTGGTAGCGGGTAATGAGAAGGTTGGGAGGCGGGGGGTGAGAACGTGGGAGGGCAGAGAGGGCACCGAAAGGAGGCGCTGTGGTAAATGCAGAATAGGATGCGGGGCCGGGAAACAGGGGACAGAGGGAATTGGGGAAACGATGAAGGGTGATAACTGCGGATGGGCGAGCCCCAGGGGGGAGGAAATATGGAGGGTGTTGGAGAAGGGGGAGACTGGGGGGGGTTGAGGTAGGGTGTTGGAGGGCACAAGGGGCAGGAACAGGGGGTGCAAAGGTTGGCTGGGGGAGGGAGAGGCGGTCTGGTGCCGCGGAAAGGCGGAGGGAGGTTGGGGACGGCACAGCCCAGGGAGCAAAAGCAAGGGGTGTAGACCTTGGCTGGGGGTAGGAACGGCGGTGTGGAGTTAGGGAGAGGTAGAGGGAGGCTGGGGTAGGTGGCTGGATTGCGCAGGGAGCAGGGGCAGGGGGTGTAGAGATTGGATGGGGGTGGGAAAGGCGGCGTGGTGCCAGGTGGCGGCAGTTGGGTCACCGAAGGGCCTGGCAGGGCGGGATGCAGAGGTGCAGCCCACGCTGGATGCGGAAGTAGCTGGGGGGGAAAGGGAGGCTGGAGGGGGAAGTACGGCTCGTAGAGGTGTGGGGGGCAGAGTGGGAGTGGGGAAGGCAGGAGGGGGGGTGGAGGAGGGACGTTGTGGACAGGGGAGTGGGGGAACATGCGGGTGATGATAGGGAGAAGCCGGGGGGGGGGAGAAGGGGGAGGTGGTATGAAGTGGGCAAGGGTGACGCACGGGCAGGGCGCGGCGGTACTAAGGGCAGGGAGACGGGAGGCTGGGGGGAGAAAAGCCTGCTTGGGGGCGTGGTGGGGGATAAGGGGAAAGGGGCGGTAATGCTGGTGGGCGAAAGGGGAGGGTGTGGTGCAGTATGATGAAACAGAATGGGGGGGTGGCGGACTGGATGGGGCCCTGGAGGGTTGGGAGAACAAAGTGTAAGCTGCCTTTCTGATTTTTTTTTCTGGTTTTTTTCCGATTTATATGAATATTTTTTTTTTCTTTGAAGTTGTTTCCCCTTATTTCCTACGGTTTCCAGAGACAGGGCGGCCTCTGCTAGCTAAGCGCCGTTAGGGAAAGAGGTTAGGTGGCGGGGTGGCTAAAGCGCGCGTGTGAGGGGGAAAGGGGCGGTGTGAGCAGGAAGGTGAATATGTGGGTGGCGACGGGGTAAGATTACGACGTGTGGGTGGCATGCACGAGTGCGCGACGAGGCATGGCAGGGTGGGAGTGAGCAAAGGGGGAGTGGGGCAGCCTGTGTGCCCAACGTGGGCGGCTAAAACGCTCTACGCAGAAAACACGCTTCGGGAGGCGCGCAAGGGGAGGGCTGCTTAATCGCTATGAACGTAGCAATTTCGCCTCCCTCCGCGCTGCCTTTCCCTGGCGGTAAGCGCCCCGTGCGCGGTTCTGTCTACGTCGCGGCTAGATTGAACGGGCGGGGAAAATGAGTGCGTGACTAAACATGACAGGCGACGAGAAAGCGTGCTTGAAAACGCGCGGCTCTTCGAATTAGGGTTTCGATAAAGAAGGGCGCACTGAAAGGGAAGGAAGAATGCTAACTACGGGCGGAAGCTAAGCTCAGTGACTTCGAGAGAGGGAAACCGTGGGAAGAAAATCGGTAGTAGCTAATCGCTTCGAATAGAAAAGCCGTGGGCAGAAAAGAGCGGGGGGATAAGGGAGAGTGTCGAGAGAGGGGATGGGCGGGAACACCGTGTCTGGCGGAGTTGTGGTTGTGAGTCGCGCGCGCTGTTACACTCCGCGGGCGAACTTCGCGTCAACGCCCCACCTCCCGTTACACCGGCTGCAGCGCGTCCGCAGCCTTCCCGCGATGGCGGGGTCGAACGAGCGGTTCCGTAACACCCCGCGAGTTCCGTTTCCGAGACTCCTGAGGGTCGCGCGCGAAACTCGCGACCCCCGTCCCGTCGAACTCGACAGTCGAAACTGGAAAACTAACCGTTGGAAACGCTTATAACTATAACATAAACAACTATCACAATCACTTTGTCCTTAAGCAACTCGAAATAGTAGGTTTGGGAGGCTCCTTAGTAGGCAGCCATGGCTAGGTAAGCTAGGTCAAGGTAAGAGCGCCGGTGGGCGAGAGCAGTACTGGGCTGGGTGACCTCCCGGGAAGTCCTCGTGTTGTACCCATTTATGCCCCTTGCTCGGCACGTGCCGGGGGAGGGGCAAGCGGGAAAAAGAAAGGACGATTTCAGCGCGTCTGATTTTTCTATTTTCGTTTTTTTTGCCCGAACAACGACCCAGCGGGGTGGGGGGCCCCCGGGGAGGCTTGCCCGTGCGAAGAAACGCCCCGTGCGCACCACCGTTGGGCGGTTGGAAGCCGCGCACGGTCGCGGGGGTGGAGAGCGGAAACGGGCAGCCGGGGGAGGGTGGGGGCGGTTGGATGGGACTGGGGTGTACGGGGGGCAGGGGAGTTGAGGGGGCAAGGGGAGGGGCAGCAACGGGCAGGGGCTGGGCCAGCTGGGGGCACGGAAAAGGGGCGGGCAGAGGGTGAGCAGAGGGGCGAGCGATGCAAGGGAGGCACCATAGGGGGGAAACCAGTTGCACGGAGGTGGGAGGTGAGGGGCGTGCGAGGGGGTGGGAAAGGGGCAGGGAGGGGCAGAATGGGAGGATGTGGGTGGGGGGTGGGGGAGGGGAGTGTGCGTGTGTGTGTGTGAGAAAGAGATAGAGGGAAACGGAGGGGGGGAGAGAAGGGTGGGAGGGGGGCTGGTGGTGGGGATGGGCTGATGGTGGTAAGAGGGCAGCAGGGATGGGGAGAAGGGAGCGTAACGAGGGGAGAGCAAAGGGCAGGGGGGGAGGAAGGGAGGGGCAGGGAGGGAAGAGGCTGAACGTACAAAGGGGGGGAAACGAGGGGCATGGATGGTAGGAAACAAGGGCAGGGAGGGGAGAAGCAATGGGTGAGGGGAAAACAAGGGAGGGGCAGAGGGGGAGGGCAGGGAGGGAAGAAACGTGGGGCAGGGAGGGGAGAAGCCAAAGACAGGGGCATGGGCAGGCGGGGGCAGGGAGGGAAGAAACGTGGGGCAGGGAGGGGAGAAGCCAAAGACAGGACCATGGGCAGGCGGGGGCAGGGAGGGAGCAAAGGAGAGGCACGGAGAAAGAAAGGGAGGCGCGGGGAGGGAAGAAACCGGGTGTGGGGGGGAGGAAAACGAGGGGCAGGGCGGGGAGGAGGGAGGGGCAGGGAGGGGAGAAGCTGAGCACACAGAGGGGGGAAAGGTGGGGCAGGGAGGTAGGAAGCCAAGGGCAAGGGGGGGAGAGTGGGGGGGCAGGGAGAGGGGGGAGGTGGGGGGCGGAGAAAGGCGGCGAGGGGCAGGGAGGGGAGAAACCAAGCATAGGGGGGCGAGATACGAGGGGCAGGGAGTGGAGTGGGTCGGCGAGGGGAAGGAAGAGGCATGCAGCAGAGGAGGGGAGGGGGGAGGAGAAGGTAAGCGAGGGGAGCGCACGGGCGGGGAGGAGCGAATGGCGGGCGGTGGGAAACGGCGAGGGGGGCAGGGAGGGTCAAAAGAGGCGGCAAGGGAGCGGGCACGCGGAGGGTAGGGGCGGGGGGAGCGGATGGCATGAGGGGGCAGGGGGTGTGACTATGAAGGGGGGACCCGGGCAAGGGGTGTGTACCGGTCGGGGCACGGGGTTGACGTGGTACGATCATACCTCGGCTACTACGCCGGATCCCATCAGAACTCCGAAGCTAAGCGCCGGTGGGCGAGAGTAGTTATTCATTAATAAGGGAAGAGCAAATACAAGCCGAATATAATGGTTTTTCCAAGACTAGGAAATTTCGACATAGCCTAATCGCTATGAGGACGGTATATATATTTTGTAGGAAAAGGGGGAAAGAAAGGAAGAGGGTGGTAGGAAGAGAAGGGAAGGATAGAAGAAGGGAACAGAAAGAGGGAGGTGGGAAGAGAAGAGGAGAGAGGGAGAGAGACTAAGGAGGAGGAAGCACCAAAGGACCAAACACGGCAGCAACCCGCACGACCGCACGGGCACAGCGTTTCAAGCACAGCCACTATTGTTTTTTACACGTATGCATCATATATATACTGCATATCAGCCACACTCTCGAAGCACCCTGTGACGTGGTGCCAAGTTCCCTGCCCCGCACCCAGTGGGACTGGTGCGGGCATCCACCCGTCGTCGGACCTCCCTAACTGCCGCACCGCATGCTGGATCATGCATTGAGCCTGCGCGCGCTGCAGTGCAACGGAGAGGCGTGTAGTGAGTCCTGCCTCAAATATCCGTGCCGATCCGTCATCCCCCCCACCTCTATCCCTCCTCCGCTGTGCTATCCTCTTTGCGCAGAGCCCCAGAAACTGACGCATCGGCTCACTCAGAAGGCCAAAGGTCTCCGCCACGCACGCGTAAAAGTGTGGTGCCGGCTGCAGCCCCTCTAAGTGCGGCCCCCAGTGACGCAGCTTCTCCTGCACCCGCCTAGCTGCTGCCACTCCAATCTGTGTGGGGGTCGCCCGTCTCAGCTGCACGTTCCCCTCCCGCTGTGGATCCGCTATGGAGACATCCACAAGAACCATCAGACCCTGGCCAACGTCGCGGCAGGTGAGATCTGGAATGCGGGAGGCGGTGCCTACACGGCCTGTGCGTCCGACTGGTCCCTGCTGTTGCGCTGGCTGCTGCCCTGTCTGGTCCCTTGGTGCCCCCTCTCCGATCGTCTCTCTCCCCCTCTCCTCTCCTCCATCCACCTGTCCTCTCCCCTCCCCCTCTCTACCCTCCCCAAACCTCCCGACCCCCCCTGCTCCATCCCCTGCTGCCTCTCTCACTCCCTGGCCCTCCCCTCCCAATCCTGCTGCCCCTCCTGTACCTCCGTCCGCTCTCTGCTGCTCCCGCCCCTGCCCCGCCCCCGAGGCCGAACCTGGAGGCGCGGCGCCCTGGGCCCGCGGCCTCCACTGGCTCTCCTGCTGCTGCCTGTGCCGTCCCCCCTCCCCGTCCTGGCCCGTCTGCTCCCCCTGCCATCCCCTCTGCCCACCTGTCCCTCGCTCCACCTGACCCCGCAGCTGGTGCCGTCCCCACTGTCCCCCGCCACCCGGCTGTCCCGCCTCGCCTCTCCGCTCCCCCGGTCCCTCAGCCCGTGTCCCCTCTCCCACCACTGGCTGTCCCAGTAGTCTCGCTCGAGCCGCCTCCAACTGTGTGAACAGCGTAGAGTCCTCCACCTTTACCGCGAAGCCCGCCTCGACCGCAAAGTCTCGAAGCATGTACTTCACCGTGTCGTGGATGGTAGTGGCGACCCCGTAGCGCGGGCACCGAACCGCGTGATGAGGCACCGTCATGTCGTCAATCGCCTGTCCGCAGGAGCACTGACCTGCAAGGGCTAACTGGGGGATAGGGAGACCAAAACAAGAAGATGAAGCCGCCTGCCACAGCGCCTCCGGGATGCGCAGTGGGTCGGCGTACGGCACCGACGTCAACCACGCCCCTGCACCTCCGCCCTGAAGGGAAGTCAAACGGGCAAGGTGCAAGGGAGAGGCGTGACGGGCACGCACGGCCTCCAAGGCATGCGCCTCCAGAAGACGGCTCGCTCCTGCAAAAAGGGAATCGGGGGAGGCAGAAGCGCAAGAGGGCCTGGGGGGAAGGAGAGAGAGAACGTCAGGTGGGAGACCCTCTAGCGCCGTCTGCAGAGCCCGGTCGATCTGCTCTGGCTCACCTGAAGCGAAGCTCTGCCGAAACACCTCGCCACACGCAGGGAGAGAACAGAGAATGGGTGCACACTGCACCCAGGAGCACACGAAACTCACCGGGGCAATGCGCGCCATGCGACGAATGCCGAAACCCCCGAGACGGATGGGGAGGAAGATCTGGTCTAGGGCGGCCTCTCGGACGTCCTCGCGACAAGCCCAGGTCCCTGAAGCTAAAAGCTGCTGAAATGTCTCTCCCAGGCGTGCGTCCCACCGTGTAAAACTGGAGATCACTGCGGGCGAAGGAGGGACGGTCCTCGACAGGTACTGTGGACGAGTGCTGACACACGCCGAAAGGAGGCGGGCAGCTGTCTGGGGCTGGCGCAACCTCGGAAGCCAAGGTAGCACCCGCCCCATCCTTTCGAGACGATCCGGGAGACTCTGCTCCACGAACGAAACGGTGCCTACCGGTACGCCTGTCACGGTGAGCCCTCGGCGTGCGACCTCGATCCCTAGGCCCGTGAAAGCCTCCAGATCCCTGGACAGAAAGGACTCCGTCTGGTAGACGAGGCACTTGTGCGGCTGGGCTGCAAGGCCCATCTCGCCCAAGCGCCTCACGATCTCGGCAAAGTGGTGCAGCACCCTGGCTGGGGGACCTAGCACGTACGTGTCATCGGCGTACGACCAGAGCTGGACATCCCCCTCCGCCAGAACCGGCTCCAAAGCAAGACGCTGTGTCAGAGCGTACAAGAAGGGGCTGAGAGGGTCTCCCTGGCGAGTGCCCCGCTCCGAGTGCATCGTGACCACTCCCGTGCCTGACCTGTAGTGGAGATCCGAGGGCGTCCCGTAGAAGAGGCCGATGAAGGGGATCAGACACTGAAACTCCGGGCTGGCCTGCAGCGCCTGGAACATCCTGTCTCGGTGGAAAGAGTTAAAGGCATTCGCCACGTCTAGCTGCAGGACCACCCAGTCTGGGTGGTCAGCCAGGGCGCGGCGGACGCCTCTAACTACGACCTCTGTCCCGCACATAACCCCCACCCCAAACTGCTGTGACGCCAAGAAGACCCTCGCCATCTGGTCACGTAGCTGGAGACAGACTGCACGAGAAAGAATGCGGACCAAAACCTCGCCGATGGCAATCGGCCGAACATCCATGTTCGACTTCGCCAGAGCCACGAGGGTGGAAGACGCTAGCAAGGAGCGTGCAGCTGGAGCGCAACGGCCTCGGAGCCACTGCTGGTACACGGCCAGGAGGAAATGGAGACTCTGAGGGAAAGCTAAGAAAGTGTCTCGCAGGTGCTCAGCGACCCAACTGGACGGTCCTCCCGAAGAGCCCCGCGGAGCTGTGAAAATCGCGCGGCGTAAGTGATCCACCGAGAGCACAAGAGGGGACCCCTGGAAGCCAGACAGCCAAGCTGGGGTCGGCCTCTCCGCGTTGGGGTGCTTCGACTGCAGGCGCTGTATCGTCCCCTGTGTATCTGGGGCTGCCTCCGCGGACTCGAGAGCCGCGCACGCCCGTGAGGTCTCATTGCACGCTGCCAGACGAAGGCAACGTGCAATGCGGCGCTCATCTGCTGTAGAGGGATTGGTGGCGGTGCGTGACCGGTGACCTGTGCGCCGAGGAAGGGGTGTGCGACGGCCTAGTGCATCTGAGACTAGCTCAGCCCACTCACCTCGACCAAAGCGGGAGATGCGCGCTGCAATGGCAGCCGTGTGCGAGCGGTCGGGTGGCGTCGCTGGAACAAGGAAAAGAGTCGGCGCTGCAGCGAGGAGGAAGGTAGGGCCAGCAGCCTCCGGGTCCTGGGCAATGCGGACTAGGATCGCACTGAGGACGTCAAGATATCCTCCGCGGACCCTCTCCGGGACACGTCGGAGAGGGCGTGTATGGATACGCTCGGGCGAGAAGTACTCTGTCCAGTCCACCGAGTCGAGCGTCTGCCACTGTGCATCGGTGAACTGCATCCCGGTCGCACGGGGCTGTGAGAGGGAAGGGATGATCGAGGCGGTATCATGGGCAGCCTGCGCCCTGCGAGCCGCGTCCGCAGGATGGCAGAAGGGAATGTGGTGCTGGAGCGCGCGTCTGTTCGCGAGAGAGCTCCTGCAGGTGGGGCAACTCACGACCTGGTCGGGTGATGTCGCCGTGTCGGCGGGGTCAATCGGGGCCGTGGCGTCGGAACTGGCTGTAGAGGGGACCCCGTGGGCGGCCTGAGCTCCGAGAGGATCGCCTGGGATGAGGGGAGGAGACGGCTCACCAGCCCCGCGCGGGGGGGGTGTCAGCGAAGATAGAGGTGGTGTCGCACAGGATAGGGCCGGGCCTCGTGCCGGTACCGGTGTCGAAGCTGGGGAGGGGGGACGTGGAGGTGAGCCTGAAGTGTGTGCCGTGGTGTGCTCCTGCCCCTCGGCGGGGTGCGGTTCAAGTGACGGCTCTGCTACCCCAGGCGGAGGGGTCTCGGTAGGGGCGGATGCCTCATCCCTACTGCTGGTGACCTCCTGCGCCACGGGCTGAACGGGGGGAGGCGCCACCCCGTCTAGGTGCGAGTGACACGGCCTCAGAACCCGGTCCGTCTCCATTGGGGTCGGGAGTGACGCGCCTAGCTGAGTGGCGGGGGGGATAAAAGAAGGGACAGACCGGGTGACCTCCGCATACGTCCGGGTCCGGTCCTGTGGGACTGGAAGGGTGGGGGCAGCCGGAGAGCTGCTCAGGCGGTGTATCGCCAGCAAATCTGAAATGCCAGCCCTCACCTCCTCTGGGGTCTCGAAGACCTGCCTGCCTGTAGGTGAGAGTAGGAGGGCTGGCAGGGTAGAGGGTGGAGTGGGGCGTGCTGGCTGAGCGGAGCTCGGGTGTGGACCCTGCCCTAGAAGGCCCCCTTGGCCCTCCCCAATCACCATGGGTTGCGGTAGGGGGTCGTCGACATGGAAGGGGTGGGAGGGATGGGAGGGGGAGTCGGTGGCGTCTGCCATGGGCGCATCCCTCAACCCGACGGCCTCCCTCCCAGTAGCGATCGCGGCCGCCGCCACCTGGGAGGGGGACACAGCACGGGAGGGGCAGAATGGGGGTGAGTGGGCTGGACCGCTCCCATGGCCCTGTGGAGGTGCAGGAGCGGGGCGGGAGTGTAGGTTTGGTGGTCGGGCTGTAGAGGTAGGGCCTGGTAAGGGTTCAACGGGATGTGAGGTAGGGAGGGGCTCTTGGTGGGGGAGGGAGGGAGGGGGGAGTACGTGGGCTGACCCTCTGCCCCTGTTCTTCCGCCGGCGGCCAACCTGGTTGTCCGCGCCTGTTTGTGAAGGAAGGGGGGGCTGTGGGGCCAAAGGGGTGGGTGGAGGGAGGATGGGTGGTTCGCCAGGCGGGGGGTGCTCTGTGTGCATCCCCTCTCTCCTCGAAACATCCCCCTCCGTGGGAACAGATCGGGCAAGCTGTGTGTGGGGGGTGATGGCTGCCCAACGGGGCCACTCGTGGGGAACCCGGCCGGGAGAGGGGGTTGGAGGTGGGGGTCGAGGGGCTGGGCCAGTGTGGAGGTTAGAGCGAGGTACAAAGGGTGGGGGGAGAGAGATTTGTGTGGGCCCTGTGGTGGCCTCTCCTGTGGGCCCCTCTACCCGGGTGCCGCCGCTCCCATGAGCCTGGGGCGCAAGCCCTTGCGGGTGGGTCTCGGCTGCCTGGGGGGGGTGGTGTGGGGAGGGCAGCCTGTTGGGTGGGCGTGTTGGGGCTGTGCGGCGACTCGGGTGGTTTGGGTGCCTGTAGCGTGTGGGAGAGGGATTTGGCCGCAGAGATGCTTCAACCTCCGAGATGTGTGTACTACCGGGTGGGGGGGGGCCTGGTGGAGGAGGGGGTAGTGGGCCGGTAGGGGGTGGCTGGGTGTTGGTAGGAGTCGGGGAGCATGGCTCCTCTAGGAAGACCAGAGCCCTGGCTGCTCCACGTGGTGCTCTAAGGAGCCCCTGAGGGTGGGGGCAGAGGTGTGCTGCCCTTGGGGGTGAAGGAAGGAGTGAGGGAAGGGGCGGGGAGGGGTGAGGGGTGAGAGAAGGGGTGCCCTCGGGTGGCTCTGCTCTTGTCGCACCCGCGTGCTCTCCCGGTGGACCGCCTGCAACCGTGGGGTCAGGCGTTGGGGACGGAGAGGGGGGCTGGCCATGGAGCAGCGTGGGGGTCGGGGAGCACGGCTCCGCCAAGAAGGCCAGGGCCTTGGCTGCCCCCCTGGACACTACCGGGACCTGAGGGTGGGGGTGGGGAAGTGGTGCTCCTGGGGGTGGGTGGGCTGGAGGACGGGAGGTGAGGATGGGGGCTCCCTCGCGCGGCTCTGTCCTCAAGGTCTCCCCCAGCCCCTCCATCGGTCCTTCTGCTAGCATGGGGACGGGCATGGGGGGTAGAGGGGGAACCTCGACGTGAGGCTGCAGGGGGGCCGGGTCGGCCTCACCGTCAAGCGTGAGGTATTGGGCCAGTGGCCCGTCAATGTGCATCACATCCTCTCCCTCATCCTCCTCTATCGCTATCACATCCCCCTCTTCAGTGCCCACCCCGGTCGGGACCACACTCACCTCTCCTTCCCCTGTTGCCCCTATGTCCCCCGAGCCCACCCCGCCTGCTGCCGCTTTACTGCTAGCCCCTTTTGCAGTCCCTGCCGGCCCTGCCGGCCCTGCTGTGTGTTTCCCCGCGTTTGCTGCGGCCCCTGCCGCCCCTACTGGCCGTGCTATGGCCCTCCCTGCTGCTTCAGCTGCAGCCTCACCTTCTGCCTTTGAGGCCACTGCTGTCCCCTCTCCCACTCTAGCCCCTGCCGTACCCTCTCTTGCTACAGCCGGGGCGGCACTCTCCCTCGCACCAGTCCCCGTTACCCCCTTCCCCGCTGCACCCGTAGCACCTCCCCCTATACCAGCCCCCACTGAGGCCTCTGTCGCTCCTGCTGCAGTCCTTGCAGCCTTGACTGCTGCAGTCTGTAAAACCTCGCCTACCGTAATCTGCTCAGCCTCACCAGCCGCGATCCCTGCAGCCTTGCCTGCCGCGGTCCCTGCAGGCTCACGTGCTGTAGTCCCTGCAGCCTCACCCGCTGCAGTCCCTGCGGCCTCACCTGCTGCAGTCTGTGCAGCCTCACCTGCTAGAATCTGCTCAACCTCACATGCTGCGGCCTCTGCAGCCTCACCTGCTGCGGCTATTTCAGCCTCACCTGCTGCGCTCCCTGCGGCCTCACCTGCCATGGTCCCGCCTGCAGCCTCATCCGCTGTGGTCCCTGCCGCCTCACCTGCTGCAGTCCCTGCGGCCTCACCTGTTGCAGTCCCTGCGACCTCACCAGCTGTAGACTGTGCAGCCTCACCTGCTAGAGTCTGCCCAACCTTACATGATGCAGCCCTCGCAGCCTCACCTGCTGCGTCCGCCGCAGTCTCACCTGCTGCGGCCCCTGCAGTCCCGCCTGCTGCGCTCCCTGCGGCCTCACCTGCTGCGCTCTCTGCAGCCTCACCTGCTGCGCCCCCTACAGCCTCACCTGCTGCGCTCCCTGCAGCCTCACCTACTGCGCTCCCTGCGGCCTCACCTGCCATGGTCCCTCCTGCAGCCTCACCCGTTGTGATCCCTGCAGCCACACCTGCTGTGGTCTGTGCGGCCTCACCTGGTGCGGTCCCTATAGCCTCCTCTGCTGCGGTTCCCCCAGCCGACACAGCAGCAGGTTCCGTGGCCCCTACTCCTGCAAAACCTGTCTCCATGGCCTCTGCCCTTTGCCTGGCCAGAGTCACGGTCCCTGCCGCCCCTTCCCGTGCAGCCCCTGCCGCCCTTTCCCGTGCAGCCGCTGCTGCCCCTTCCCTTGCAGCCTCTGCTGCCCTTTCCTCTGCAGCCTCTGCTGCCCCTTCCCCCACAACCCCCATTGCCCCTTCCCGTGCAGCCTTTGCTGCCCCATCCTCTGCAGCCTCTGCTGCTCCTTCACACACAAACTCACTTACCCCTTCCCGTGCAGTGTCAGCTGCAAGTTCCCCCCTGGCTCTGCCCTCTCCCGCTTCTATGTGCTTGGGGGTGCGGGTAGGATTAAGTGTTTTCACAAGTAATCTGGTTTGCGAATGGGAGGTAGCGAGTGAGTTGGAGGATCTCTCTACTGAGCATGCATGGGTGCCGCCCCCGCTGTCACCTGAAGGGGGGGTAGGCTGGGATGGGGCAGCGGGGGTAGGGCGCGGTTTTGAGCGTGCTGGCTCCTCCTCGTGTATTTCCTCCAGTGGGGCTTGGCGTTCCTCTGTTCCATCCTCTTCAAAGGTACGCTTCTGGCCCCTAGGGTCAGATTGTGTGAGTGTTTTCGCTTGGTCAGGTGTGTGTTGTTTCTTCCTGACTGTTGAAGTGGGGGGAGTGGGAGAGTAGGGGGTGGCTCGGCTGCGGGACCTCCCAGATCGCCGAGGGGCTCCCGAGTCTGCCTTTCCCCCACTCGCGGGGTGCTGGGGCATTGTTACAGAGGCAGCATGCCTGGCGGTGGCGGTGTGAGTTGCTGGAGTTGGCTCAAGAGGGCGTCAAAGGGGGAAGGAACTCCCTGGCAGAGGCCGGGGTGCGGGGGGTTAGCTTGGGGAAAGGGGAAAAGGGTGGGGAAAGCGGTGCGCAGTGGGTGGAAGAGAGGGTAGAGGGGGCCTGACAGTTGGAGGGGATTGGGGCCCAAGGGGGGGGCGGGCTGGGGGCCGGTTGAGAGGGGAAGTGTTGGCGGGCTGTAGTGGAGGTGGGGGGGCGGGGGTGATGTAGCGGTGGGTGAGCAGGGTGTGGGGACAGGTGGTGGGCCGGAGGTGGGGAGGGCAGGGCAGAATTCCCCTTATTTCCTACGGTTTCCAGAGACAGGGCGGCCTCTGCTAGCTAAGCGCCGTTAGGGAAAGAGGTTAGGTGGCGGGGTGGCTAAAGCGCGCGTGTGAGGGGGAAAGGGGCGGTGTGAGCAGGAAGGTGAATATGTGGGTGGCGACGGGGTAAGATTACGACGTGTGGGTGGCATGCACGAGTGCGCGACGAGGCATGGCAGGGTGGGAGTGAGCAAAGGGGGAGTGGGGCAGCCTGTGTGCCCAACGTGGGCGGCTAAAACGCTCTAGGCAGAAAACGCGCTTCGGGAGGCGCGCAAGGGGAGGGCTGCTTAATCGCTACGAACGTAGCAATTTCGCCTCCCTCCGCGCTGCCTTTCCCTGGCGGTAAGCGCCCCGTTCGCGGTTCTGTCTACGTCGCGGCTAGATTGAACGGGCGGGGAAAATGAGTGCGTGACTAAACATGACAGGCGACGAGAAAGCGTGCTTGAAAACGCGCGGCTCTTCGAATTAGGGTTTCGATAAAGAAGGGCGCACTGAAAGGGAAGGAAGAATGCTAACTACGGGCGGAAGCTAAGCTCAGTGACTTCGAGAGAGGGAAACCGTGGGAAGAAAATCGGTAGTAGCTAATCGCTTCGAATAGAAAAGCCGTGGGCAGAAAAGAGCGGGGGGATAAGGGAGAGTGTCGAGAGAGGGGATGGGCGGGAACACCGTGTCTGGCGGAGTTGTGGTTGTGAGTCGCGCGCGCTGTTACACTCCGCGGGCGAACTTCGCGTCAACGCCCCACCTCCCGTTACACCGGCTGCAGCGCGTCCGCAGCCTTCCCGCGATGGCGGGGTCGAACGAGCGGTTCCGTAACACCCCGCGAGTTCCGTTTCCGAGACTCCTGAGGGTCGCGCGCGAAACTCGCGACCCCCGTCCCGTCGAACTCGACAGTCGAAACTGGAAAACTAACCGTTGGAAACGCTTATAACTATAACATAAACAACTATCACAATCACTTTGTCCTTAAGCAACTCGAAATAGTAGGTTTGGGAGGCTCCTTAGTAGGCAGCCATGGCTAGGTAAGCTAGGTCAAGGTAAGAGCGCCTGTGGGCGAGAGCAGTACTGGGCTGGGTGACCTCCCGGGAAGTCCTCGTGTTGTACCCATTTATGCCCCTTGCTCGGCACGTGCCGGGGGAGGGGCAAGCGGGAAAAAGAAAGGACGATTTCAGCGCGTCCGATTTTTCTATTTTCGTTTTTTTGCCCGAACAACGACCCAGCGGGGTGGGGGGCCCCCGGGGAGGCTTGCCCGTGCGAAGAAACGCCCCGTGCGCACCACCGTTGGGCGGTTGGAAGCCGCGCACGGTCGCGGGGGTGGAGAGCGGAAATGGGCAGCCGGGGGAGGGTGGGGGCGGTTGGATGGGACTGGGGTGTACGGGGGGCAGGGGAGTTGAGGGGGCAAGGGGAGGGGCAGCAACGGGCAGGGGCTGGGCCAGCTGGGGGCACGGAAAAGGGGCGGGCAGAGGGTGAGCAGAGGGGCGAGCGATGCAAGGGAGGCACCATAGGGGGGAAACCAGTTGCACGGAGGTGGGAGGTGAGGGGCGTGCGAGGGGGTGGGAAAGGGGCAGGGAGGGGCAGAATGGGAGGATGTGGGTGGGGGGTGGGGGAGGGGAGTGTGCGTGTGTGTGTGTGAGAAAGAGAGAGAGGGAAAGGGAGGGGGGGAGAGAAGGGTGGGAGGGGGGCTGGTGGTGGGGATGGGCTGATGGTGGTAAGAGGGCAGCAGGGATGGGGAGAAGGGAGCGTAACGAGGGGAGAGCAAAGGGCAGGGGGGGAGGAAGGGAGGGGCAGGGAGGGAAGAGGCTGAACGTACAAAGGGGGGGAAACGAGGGGCATGGATGGTAGGAAACAAGGGCAGGGGTGCGGGAAATCAAGGGCAGGGAGGGGAGAAGCAATGGGTGAGGGGAAAACAAGGGAGGGGCAGAGGGGGGACAGGGAGGGAAGAAACGTGGGGCAGGGAGGGGAGAAGTCAAAGACAGGGGCATGGGCAGGCGGGGGCAGGGAGGGAGCAAAGGAGAGGCACGGAGAAAGAAAGGGAGGCGCGGGGAGGGGAGAAACCGGGCGTGGGGGGGCGGAAACAAGGGGCAGGGCGGGGAGGAGGGAGGGGCAGGGAGGGGAGAAGCTGAGCACACGGAGGGGGGAAAGGTGGGGCAGGGAGGTAGGAAGCCAAGGGCAAGGGGGGGAGAGTGGGGGGGCAGGGAGAGGGGGGAGGTGGGGGGCGGAGAAAGGCGGCGAGGAGCAGGGAGGGGAGAAACCAAGCATAGGGGGGCGAGATACGAGGGGCAGGGTGCGGATTGAGGAGGGGCAGGGAGTGGAGTGGGTCGGCGAGGGGAAGGAAGAGGCGTGCAGCAGAGGAGGGGAGGGGGGAGGAGAAGGTAAGCGAGGGGAGCGCACGGGCGGGGAGGAGCGAATGGCGGGCGGTGGGAAACGGCGAGGGGGGCAGGGAGGGTCAAAAGAGGCGGCAAGGGAGCGGGCACGCGGAGGGTAGGGGCGGGGGGAGCGGTTTGCATGAGGGGGCAGGGGGTGTGACTATGAAGGGGGGACCCGGGCAAGGGGTGTGTACTGGTCGGGGCACGGGGTTGACGTGGTACGATCATACCTCGGCTACTACGCCGGATCCCATCAGAACTCCGAAGCTAAGCGCCGGTGGGCGAGAGCAGTTATTCATTAATAAGGGAAGAGCAAATACAAGCCGAATATAATGGTTTTTCCAAGACTAGGAAATTTCGACATAGCCTAATCGCTATGAGGACGGTATATATATTTTGTAGGAAAAGGGGGAAAGAAAGGAAAGGAAGGAAAGATGAAGGAGTAAGAAGAAGTGGTAGGGAAAGGAAGAGGGTGGTAGGAAGAGAAGGGAAGGATAGAAGAGGGGAACAGAAAGAGGGAGGTGGGAAGAGAAGAGGAGAGAGGGAGAGAGACTAAGGAGGAGGAAGCACCAAAGGACCAAACACGGCAGCAACCCGCACGACCGCACGGGCACAGCGTTTCAAGCACAGCCACTATTGTTTTTTACACATATGCATCATATATATACTGCATATCAGCCACACTCTCGAAGCACCCTGTGACGTGGTGCCAAGTTCCCTGCCCCGCACCCAGTGGGACTGGTGCGGGCATCCACCCGTCGTCGGACCTCCCTAACTGCCGCATCGCATGCTGGATCATGCATTGAGCCTGCGCGCGCTGCAGTGCAACGGAGAGGCGTGTAGTGAGTCCTGCCTCAAATATCCGTGCCGATCCGTCATCCCCCCCACCTCTATCCCTCCTCCGCTGTGCTATCCTCTTTGCGCAGAGCCCCAGAAACTGACGCAGCGGCTCACTCAGAAGGCCAAAGGTCTCCGCCACGCACGCGTAAAAGTGTGGTGCCGGCTGCAGCCCCTCTAAGTGCGGCCCCCAGTGACGCAGCTTCTCCTGCACCCGCCTAGCTGCTGCCACTCCAATCTGTGTGGGGGTCGCCCGTCTCAGCTGCACGTTCCCCTCCCGCTGTGGATCCGCTATGGAGACATCCACAAGAACCATCAGACCCTGGCCAACGTCGCGGCAGGTGAGATCTGGAATGCGGGAGGCGGTGCCTACACGGCCTGTGCGTCCAACTGGTCCCTGCTGTTGCGCTGGCTGCTGCCCTGTCTGGTCCCTTGGTGCCCCCTCTCCGATCGTCTCTCTCCCCCTCTCCTCTCCTCCATCCACCTGTCCTCTCCCCTCCCCCTCTCTACCCTCCCCCAAACCTCCCGACCCCCCTGCTCCATCCCCTGCTGCCTCTCTCACTCCCTGGCCCTCCCCTCCCAATCCCGCTGCCCCTCCTGTACCTCCGTCCGCTCTCTGCTGCTCCCGCCCCTGCCCCGCCCGCGAGGCCGAACCTGGAGGCGCGGCGCCCTGGGCCCGCGGCCTCCACTGGCTCTCCTGCTGCTGCCTGTGCCGTCCCCCCTCCCCGTCCTGGCCCGTCTGCTCCCCCTGCCGTCCCCTCTACCCACCTGTCCCTCGCTCCACCTGACCCCGCAGCTGGTGCCGTCCCCACTGTCCCCCGCCACCCGGCTGTCCCGCCTCGCCTCTCCGCTCCCCCGGTCCCTCAGCCCGTGTCCCCTCTCCCACCACTGGCTGTCCCAGTAGTCTCGCTCGAGCCGCCTCCAACTGTGTGAACAGCGTAGAGTCCTCCACCTTTACCGCGAAGCCCGCCTCGACCGCAAAGTCTCGAAGCATGTACTTCACCGTGTCGTGGATGGTAGTGGCGACCCCGTAGCGCGGGCACCGAACCGCGTGATGAGGCACCGTCATGTCGTCAATCGCCTGTCCGCAGGAGCACTGACCTGCAAGGGCTAACTGGGGGATAGGGAGACCAAGACGAGAAGATGAAGCCGCCTGCCACAGCGCCTCCGGGATGCGCAGTGGGTCGGCGTACGGCACCGACGTCAACCACGCCCCTGCACCTCCGCCCTGAAGGGAAGTCAAACGGGCAAGGTGCAAGGGAGAGGCGTGACGGGCACGCACGGCCTCCAAGGCATGCGCCTCCAGAAGGAGGGACGGTCCTTGACAGGTACTGCGGACGAGTGCTGACACACGCCGAAAGGAGGCGGGCAGCTGTCTGGGGCTGGCACAACCTTGGAAGCCAAGGTAGCACCCGCCCCATCCTCTCGAGACGATCCGGGAGACTCTGCTCCACGAACGAAACGGTGCCTACCGGTACGCCTGTCACGGTGAGCCCTCGGCGTGCGACCTCGATCCCTAGGCCCGTGAAAGCCTCCAGATCCCTGGACAGAAAGGACTCCGTCTGGTAGACGAGGCACTTGTGCGGCTGGGCTGCAAGGCCCATCTCGCCCAAGCGCCTCACGATCTCGGCAAAGTGGTGCAGCACCCTGTCTGGGGGACCTAGCACGTACGTGTCATCGGCGTACGACCAGAGCTGGACATCCCCCTCCGCCAGAACCGGCTCCAAAGCAAGACGCTGTGTCAGAGCGTACAAGAAGGGGATGAGAGGGTCTCCCTGGCGAGTGCCCCGCTCCGAGTGCATCGTGACCACTCCCGTGCCTGACCTGTAGTGGAGATCCGAGGGCGTCCCGTAGAAGAGGCCGATGAAGGGGATCAGACACTGAAACTCCGGGCTGGCCTGCAGCGCCTGGAACATCCTGTCTCGGTGGAAAGAGTTAAAGGCATTCGCCACGTCTAGCTGCAGGACCACCCAGTCTGGGTGGTCAGCCAGGGCGCGGCGGACGCCTCTAACTACGACCTCTGTCCCGCACATAACCCCCACCCCAAACTGCTGTGACGCCAAGAAGACCCTCGCCATCTGGTCACGTAGCTGGAGACAGACTGCACGAGAAAGAATGCGGACCAAAACCTCGCCGATGGCAATCGGCCGAACATCCATGTTCGACTTCGCCAAGGCCACGAGGGTGGAAGACGCTAGCAAGGAGCGTGCAGCTGGAGCGCAACGGCCTCGGAGCCACTGCTGGTACACGGCCAGGAGGAAATGGAGACTCTGAGGGAAAGCTAAGAAAGTGTCTCGCAGGTGCTCAGCGACCCAACCGGACGGTCCTCCCGAAGAGCCCCGCGGAGCTGTGAAAATCGCGCGGCGTAAGTGATCCACCGAGAGCACAAGAGGGGACCCCTGGAAGCCAGACAGCCAAGCTGGGGTCGGCCTCTCCGCGTTGGGGTGCTTCGACTGCAGGCGCTGTATCGTCCCCTGTGTATCTGGGGCTGCCTCCGCGGACTCGAGAGCCGCGCATGCCCGTGAGGTCTCATTGCACGCTGCCAGACGAAGGCAACGTGCAATGCGGCGCTCATCTGCTGTAGAGGGATCGGTGGCGGTGCGTGACCGGTGACCTGTGCGCCGAGGAAGGGGTGTGCGACGGCCTAGTGCATCTGAGACTAGCTCAGCCCACTCACCTCGACCAAAGCGGGAGATGCGCGCTGCAATGGCAGCCGTGTGCGAGCGGTCGGGTGGCGTCGCTGGAACAAGGAAAAGAGTCGGCGCTGCAGCGAGGAGGAAGGTAGGGCCAGCAGCCTCCGGGTCCTGGGCAATGCGGACTAGGATCGCACTGAGGACGTCAAGATATCCTCCGCGGACCCTCTCCGGGACACGTCGGAGAGGGCGTGTATGGATACGCTCGGGCGAGAAGTACTCTGTCCAGTCCACCGAGTCGAGCGTCTGCCACTGTGCGTCGGTGAACTGCATCCCGGTCGCACGGGGCTGTGAGAGGGAAGGGATGATCGAGGCGGTATCATGGGCAGCCTGCGCCCTGCGAGCCGCGTCCGCAGGATGGCAGAAGGGAATGTGGTGCTGGAGCGCGCGTCGGTTCGCAAGGGAGCTCCTGCAGGTGGGGCAACTCACGACCTGGTCCGGTGATGTCGCCGTGTCGGCGGGGTCAATCGGGGCCGTGGCGTCGGAACTGGCTGTAGAGGGGACCCCGTGGGCGGCCTGAGCTCCGAGAGGATTGCCTGGGATGAGGGGAGGAGACGGCTCACCAGCCCCGCGCGGGGGGGGTGTCAGCGAAGATAGAGGTGGTGTCGCACAGGATAGGGCCGGGCCTCGTGCGGGTACCGGTGTCGAAGCTGGGGAGGGGGGACGTGGAGGTGAGCCTGAAGTGTGTGCGGTGGTGTGCTCCTGCCCCTCGGCGGGGTGCGGTTCAAGTGACGGCTCTGCTACCCCAGACGGAGGGGTCTCGGTAGGGGCGGATGCCTCATCCCTACTGCTGGTGACCTCCTGCGCCACGGGCTGAACGGGGGGAGGCGCCACCCCGTCTAGGTGCGAGTGACACGGCCTCAGAACCCGGTCCGTCTCCATTGGGGTCGGGAGTGACGCGCCTAGCTGAGTGGCGGGGGGGATAAAAGAAGGGACAGACCGGGTGACCTCCGCATACGTCCGGGTCCGGTCCTGTGGGACTGGAAGGGTGGGGGCAGCCGGAGAGCTGCTCAGGCGGTGTATCGCCAGCAAATCTGAAATGCCAGCCCTCACCTCCTCTGGGGTCTCGAAGACCTGCCTGCCTGTAGGTGAGAGTAGGAGGGCTGGCAGGGTAGAGGGTGGAGTGGGGCGTGCTGGCTGAGCGGAGCTCGGGTGTGGACCCTGCCCTAGAAGGCCCCCTTGGCCCTCCCCAATCACCATGGGTTGCGGTAGGGGGTCGTCGACATGGAAGGGGTGGGAGGGATGGGAGAGGGAGTCGGTGGCGTCTGCCATGGGCGCATCCCTCAACCCGACGGCCTCCCTCCCAGTAGCGATCGCGGCCGCCGCCACCTGGGAGGGGGACACAGCACGGGAGGGGCAGAATGGGGGTGAGTGGGCTGGACCGCTCCCATGGCCCTGTGGAGGTGCAGGAGCGGGGTGGGAGTGTAGGTTTGGTGGTCGGGCTGTAGAGGTAGGGCCTGGTAAGGGTTCAACGGGATGTGAGGTAGGGAGGGGCTCTTGGTGGGGGAGGGAGGGAGGGGGGAGTACGTGGGCTGACCCTCTGCCCATGTTCTTCCGCCGGCGGCCAACCTGGTTGTCCGCGCCTGTTTGTGAAGGAAGGGGGGGCTGTGGGGCCAAAGGGGTGGGTGGAGGGAGGATGGGTGGTTCGCCAGGCGGGGGGTGCTCTGTGTGCATCCCCTCTCTCCTCGAAACATCCCCCTCCGTGGGAACAGATCGGGCAAGCTGTGTGTGGGGGGTGATGGCTGCCCAACGAGGCCACTCGTGGGGAACCCGGCCGGGAGAGGGGGTTGGAGGTGGGGGTCAAGGGGTCGGGCCAGTGTGGAGGTTAGAGCGAGGTACAAACGGTGGGGGGAGAGAGATTTGTGTGGGCCCTGTGGTGGCCTCTCCTGTGGGCCCCTCTACCCGGGTGCCGCCGCTCCCATGAGCCTGGGGCGCAAGCCCTTGCGGGTGGGTCTCGGCTGCCTGGGGGGGGTGGTGTGGGGAGGGCAGCCTGTTGGGTGGGCGTGTTGGGGCTGTGCGGCGACTCGGGTGGTTTAGGTGCCTGTAGCGTGTGGGAGAGGGATTTGGCCGCAGAGATGCTTCAACCTCCGAGATGTGTGTACTACCGGGTGGGGGGGGGCCTGGTGGAGGAGGGGGTAGTGGGCCGGTAGGGGGTGGCTGGGTGTTGGTAGGAGTCGGGGAGCATGGCTCCTCTAGGAAGACCAGAGCCCTGGCTGCTCCACGTGGTGCTCTAAGGAGCCCCTGAGGGTGGGGGCAGAGGTGTGCTGCCCTTGGGGGTGAAGGAAGGAGTGAGGGAAGGGGCGGGGAGGGGTGAGGGGTGAGAGAAGGGGTGCCCTCGGGTGGCTCTGTTCTTGTCGCACCCGCGTGCTCTCCCGGTGGACCGCCTGCAACCGTGGGGTCAGGCGTTGGGGACGGAGAGGGGAGCTGGCCATGGAGCAGCGTGGGGGTCGGGGAGCACGGCTCCGCCAAGAAGGCCAGGGCCTTGGCTGCCCCCCTGGACACTACCGGGACCTGAGGGTGGGGGTGGGGAAGTGGTGCTCCTGGGGGTGGGTGGGCTGGAGGACGGGAGGTGAGGATGGGGGCTCCCTCGCGCGGCTCTGTCCTCAAGGTCTCCCCCAGCCCCTCCATCGGTCCTTCTGCTAGCATGGGGACGGGCATGGGGGGTAGAGGGGGAATCTCGACGTGAGGCTGCAGGGGGGCCGGGTCGGCCTCACCGTCAAGCGTGAGGTATTGGGCCAGTGGCCCGTCAATGTGCATCACATCCTCTCCCTCATCCTCCTCTATCGCTATCACATCCCCCTCTTTAGTGCCCACCCCGGTCGGGACCACACTCACCTCTCCTTCCCCTGTTGCCCCTATGTCCCCCGAGCCCACCCCGCCTGCTGCCGCTTTACTGCTAGCCCCTTTTGCAGTCTCTGCCGGCCCTGCCGGCCCTGCTGTGTGTTTCCCCGCGTTTGCTGCGGCCCCTGCCGCCCCTACTGGCCGTGCTATGGCCCTCCCTGCTGCTTCAGATGCAGCCTCACCTTCTGCCTTTGAGGCCACTGCTGTCCCCTCTCCCACTCTAGCCCCTGCCGTACCCTCTCTTGCTACAGCCGGGGCGGCACTCTCCCTCGCACCAGTCCCCGTTACCCCCTTCCCCGCTGCACCCGTAGCACCTCCCCCTATACCAGCCCCCACTGTGGCCTCTGTTGCTCCTGCTGCAGTCCTTGCAGCCTCGACTGCTGCAGTCTGTAAAACCTCGCCTACCGTAATCTGCTCAGCCTCACCAGCCGCGATCCCTGCAGCCTTAACTGCCGCGGTCCCTGCAGGCTCACGTGCTGCAGTCCCTGCAGCCTCACCCGCTGCAGTCCCTGCGGCCTCACCTGCTGCAGTCTGTGCAGCCTCACCTGCTAGAATCTGCTCAACCTCACATGCTGCGGCCTCTGCAGCCTCACCTGCTGCGGCTATTTCAGCCTCACCTGCTGCGCTCCCTGCGGCCTCACCTGCCATGGTCCCGCCTGCAGCCTCATCCGCTGTGGTCTCTGCCGCCTCACCTACTGCAGTCCCTGCGGCCTCACCTGTTGCAGTCCCTGCAACCTCACCAGCTGTAGACTGTGCAGCCTCACCTGCTAGAGTCTGCCCAACCTTACATGATGCAGCCCTCGCAGCCTCACCTGCTGCGTCCGCCGCAGTCTCACCTGCTGCGGCCCCTGCAGTCCCGCCTGCTGCGCTCCCTGCGGCCTCACCTGCTGCGCTCTCTGCAGCCTCACCTGCTGCGCCCCCTACAGCCTCACCTGCTGCGCTCCCTGCAGCCTCACCTACTGCGCTCCCTGCGGCCTCACCTGCCATGGTCCCTCCTGCAGCCTCACCCGTTGTGATCCCTGCAGCCACACCTGCTGTGGTCTGTGCGGCCTCACCTGGTGCGGTCCCTATAGCCTCCTTTGCTGCGGTTCCCCCAGCCGACACAGCAGCAGGTTCCGTGGCCCCTACTCCTGCAAAACCTGTCTCCATGGCCTCTGCCCTTTGCCTGGCCAGAGTCACGGTCCCTGCCGCCCCTTCCCGTGCAGCCCCTGCCGCCCTTTCCCGTGCAGCCGCTGCTGCCCCTTCCCTTGCAGCCTCTGCTGCCCTTTCCTCTGCAGCCTCTGCTGCCCCTTCCCCCACAACCCCCATTGCCCCTTCCCGTGCAGCCTTTGCTGCCCCATCCTCTGCAGCCTCTGCTGCTCCTTCACACACAAACTCACTTACCCCTTCCCGTGCAGTGTCAGCTGCAAGTTCCCCCCTGGCTCTGCCCTCTCCCGCTTCTATGTGCTTGGGGGTGCGGGTAGGATTAAGTGTTTTCACAAGTAATCTGGTTTGCGAATGGGAGGTAGCGAGTGAGTTGGAGGATCTCTCTACTGAGCATGCATGGGTGCCGCCCCCGCTGTCACCTGAAGGGGGGGTAGGCTGGGATGGGGCAGCGGGGGTAGGGCGCGGTTTTGAGCGTGCTGGCTCCTCCTCGTGTATTTCCTCCAGTGGGGCTTGGCGTTCCTCTGTTCCATCCTCTTCAAAGGTACGCTTCTGGCCCCTAGGGTCAGATTGTGTGAGTGTTTTCGCTTGGTCAGGTGTATGTTGTTTCTTCCTGACTGTTGAAGTGGGGGGAGTGGGAGAGTAGGGGGTGGCTCGGCTGCGGGACCTCCCAGATCGCCGAGGGGCTCCCGGGTCTGCCTTTCCCCCACTCGCGGGGTGCTGGGGCATTGTTACAGAGGCAGCATGCCTGGCGGTGGCGGTGTGAGTTGCTGGAGTTGGCTCAAGAGGGCGTCAAAGGGGGAAGGAACTCCCTGGCAGAGGCCGGGGTGCGGGGGGTTAGCTTGGGGAAAGGGGAAAAGGGTGGGGAAAGCGGTGCGCAGTGGGTGGAAGAGAGGGTAGAGGGGGCCTGACAGTTGGAGGGGATTGGGGCCCAAGGGGGGGGCGGGCTGGGGGCTGGTTGAGAGGGGAAGTGTTGGCGGGCTGTAGTGGAGGTGGGGGGGCGGGGGTGATGTAGCGGTGGGTGAGCAGGGTGTGGGGACAGGTGGTGGGCCGGAGGTGGGGAGGGCAGGGCAGAATTCCACGGGAGGTGGGGGTGGGCAGGTGGAGCCAAGTGGGAAAGGAAGGGTGGGGAACAGAGAGGAAGGGGCAAAGGGTAGTGGGTAGTCGAGTTGGCGTGAGCCTGGTAGCGGGTAATGAGAAGGTTGGGAGGCGGAGGGTGAGAACGTGGGAGGGCAGAGAGGGCACCGAAAGGAGGCGCTGTGGTAAATGCAGAATAGGATGCGGGGCCGGGAAACAGGGGACAGAGGGAATTGGGGAAACGATGAAGGGTGATAACTGCGGATGGGCGAGCCCCAGGGGGGAGGAAATATGGAGGGTGTTGGAGAAGGGGGAGACTGGGGGGGGTTGAGGTAGGGTGTTGGAGGGCACAAGGGGCAGGAACAGGGGGTGCAAAGGTTGGCTGGGGGAGGGAGAGGCGGTCTGGTGCCGCGGAAAGGCGGAGGGAGGTTGGGGACGGCACAGCCCAGGGAGCAAAAGCAAGGGGTGTAGACCTTGGCTGGGGGTAGGAACGGCGGTGTGGAGTTAGGGAGAGGTAGAGGGAGGCTGGGGTAGGTGGCTGGATTGCGCAGGGAGCAGGGGCAGGGGGTGTAGAGATTGGATGGGGGTGGGAAAGGCGGCGTGGTGCCAGGTGGCGGCAGTTGGGTCACCGAAGGGCCTGGCAGGGCGGGATGCAGAGGTGCAGCCCACGCTGGATGCGGAAGTAGCTGGGGGGGAAAGGGAGGCTGGAGGGGGAAGTACGGCTCGTAGAGGTGTGGGGGGCAGAGTGGGAGTGGGGAAGGCAGGAGGGGGGGTGGAGGAGGGACGTTGTGGACAGGGGAGTGGGGGAACATGCGGGTGATGATAGGGAGAAGCCGGGGGGGGGGGAGAAGGGGGAGGTGGTATGAAGTGGGCAAGGGTGACGCACGGGCAGAGCGCGGCGGTACTAAGGGCAGGGAGACGGGAGGCTGGGGGGAGAAAAGCCTGCTTGGGGGCGTGGTGGGGGATAAGGGGAAAGGGGCGGTAATGCTGGTGGGCGAAAGGGGAGGGTGTGGTGCAGTATGATGAAACAGAATGGGGGGGTGGCGGACTGGATGGGGCCCTGGAGGGTTGGGAGAACAAGGTGTAAGCTGCCTTTCTGATTTTTTTTCTGGTTTTTTTCCGATTTATATGAATAATTTTTTTTTTTCTTTGAAGTTGTTTCCCCTTATTTCCTACAGTAACCAGAGACAGGGCGGCCTCTGCTAGCTAAGCGCCGTTAGGGAAAGAGGTTAGGTGGCGGGGTGGCTAAAGCGCGCGTGTGAGGGGGAAAGGGGCGGTGTGAGCAGGAAGGTGAATATGTGGGTGGCGACGGGGTAAGATTACGACGTGTGGGTGGCATGCACGAGTGTGCGACGAGGCATGGCAGGGTGGGAGTGAGCAAAGGGGGAGTGGGGCAGCCTGTGTGCCCAACGTGGGCGGCTAAAACGCTCTAGGCAGAAAACGCGCTTCGGGAGGCGCGCAAGGGGAGGGCTGCTTAATCGCTACGAACGTAGCAATTTCGCCTCCCTCCGCGCTGCCTTTCCCTGGCGGTAAGCGCCCCGTGCGCGGTTCTGTCTACGTCGCGGCTAGATTGAACGGGCGGGGAAAATGAGTGCGTGACTAAACATGACAGGCGACGAGAAAGCGTGCTTGAAAACGCGCGGCTCTTCGAATTAGGGTTTCGATAAAGAAGGGCGCACTGAAAGGGAAGGAAGAATGCTAACTACGGGCGGAAGCTAAGCTCAGTGACTTCGAGAGAGGGAAACCGTGGGAAGAAAATCGGTAGTAGCTAATCGCTTCGAATAGAAAAGCCGTGGGCAGAAAAGAGCGGGGGGATAAGGGAGAGTGTCGAGAGAGGGGATGGGCGGGAACACCGTGTCTGGCGGAGTTGTGGTTGTGAGTCGCGCGCGCTGTTACACTCCGCGGGCGAACTTCGCGTCAACGCCCCACCTCTCGTTACACCGGCTGCAGTGCGTCCGCAGCCTTCCCGCGATGGCGGGGTCGAACGAGCGGTTCCGTAACACCCCGCGAGTTCCGTTTCCGAGACTCCTAAGGGTCGCGCGTGAAACTCGCGACCCCCGTCCCGTCGAACTCGACAGTCGAAACTGGAAAACTAACCGTTGGAAACGCTTATAACTATAACATAAACAACTATAACAATCACTTTGTCCTTAAGCAACTCAAAATAGTAGGTTTGGGAGGCTCCTTAGTAGGCAGCCATGGCTAGGTAAGCTAGGTCAAGGTAAGAGCGCCGGTGGGCGAGAGCAGTACTGGGCTGGGTGACCTCCCGGGAAGTCCTCGTGTTGTACCCATTTATGCCCCTTGCTCGGCACGTGCCGGGGGAGGGGCAAGCGGGAAAAAGAAAGGACGATTTCAGCGCGTCTGATTTTTTTATTTTCGTTTTTTTGCCCGAACAACGACCCAGCGGGGTGGGGGACCCCCGGGGAGGCTTGCCCGTGCGAAGAAACGCCCCGTGCGCACCACCGTTGGGCGGTTGGAAGCCGCACACGGTCGCGGGGTTGGAGAGCGGAAACGGGCAGCCGGGGGAGGGTGGGGGCGGTTGGATGGGACTGGGGTGTACGGGGGGCAGGGGAGTTGAGGGGGCAAGGGGAGGGGCAGCAACGGGCAGGGGCTGGGCCAGCTGAGGGCATGGAAAAGGGGCGGGCAGAGGGTGAGCAGAGGGGCGAGCAATGCAAGGGAGGCACCATAGGGGGGAAACCAGTTGCACGGAGGTGGGAGGTGAGGGGCGTGCGAGGGGGTGGGAAAGGGGCAGGGAGGGGCAGAATGGGAGGATGTGGGTGGGGGGTGGGGGAGGGGAGTGTGCGTGTGTGTGTGTGAGAAAGAGAGAGAGGGAAAGGGAGGGGGGGAGAGAAGGGTGGGAGGGGGGCTGGTGGTGGGGATGGGCTGATGGTGGTAAGAGGGCAGCAGGGATGGGGAGAAGGGAGCGTAACGAGGGGAGAGCAAAAGGCAGGGGGGGAGGAAGGGAGGGGCAGGGAGGGAAGAGGCTGAACGTACAAAGGGGGGGAAACGAGGGGCATGGATGGTAGGAAACAAGGGCAGGGTTGCGGGAAATCAAGGGCAGGGAGGGGAGAAGCAATGGGTGAGGGGAAAACAAGGGAGGGGCAGAGGGGGTGGGCAGGGAGGGAAGAAACGTGGGGCAGGGAGGGGAGAAGCCAAAGACAGGGGCATGGGCAGGCGGGGGCAGGGAGGGAGCAGAGGAGAGGCACGGAGAAAGAAAGGGAGGCGCGGGGAGGGGAGAAACCGGGCGTGGGGGGGCGGAAAACGAGGGGCAGGGCGGGGAGGAGGGAGGGGCAGGGAGGGGAGAAGCTGAGCACACAGAGGGGGGAAAGGTGGGGCAGGGAGGTAGGAAGCCAAGGGCAAGGGTGGGAGAGTGGGGGGGCAGGGAGAGGGGGGAGGTGGGGGGCGGAGAAAGGCGGCGAGGGGCAGGGAGGGGAGAAACCAAGCATAGGGGGGCGAGATACGAGGGGCAGGGTGCGGATTGAGGAGGGGCAGGGAGTGGAGTGGGTCGGCGAGGGGAAGGAAGAGGCGTGCAGCAGAGGAGGGGAGGGGGGAGGAGAAGGTAAGCGAGGGGAGCGCACGGGCGGGGAGGAGCGAATGGCGGGCGGTGGGAAACGGCGAGGGGGGCAGGGAGGGTCAAAAGAGGCGGCAAGGGAGCGGGCACGCGGAGGGTAGGGGCGGGGGGAGCGGATGGCATGAGGGGGCAGGGGGTGTGACTATGAAGGGGGGACCCGGGCAAGGGGTGTGTACCGGTCGGGGCACGGGGTTGACGTGGTACGATCATACCTCGGCTACTACGCCGGGATCCCATCAGAACTCCGAAGCTAAGCGCCGGTGGGCGAGAGCAGTACTGGGCTGGGTTACTCCCGGGAAGTCCTCGTGTTGTACCCATTTATGCCCCTTGCTCGGCACGTGCCGGGGGAGGGGCAAGCGGGAAAAAGAAAGGACGATTTCAGCGCGTCCGATTTTTTTATTTTTTTTTTCGTTTTTTTTGCCCAAACAACGACCCAGCGGGATGGGGGGCCCCCGGGGAGGCTTGCCCGTGCGAAGAAACGCCCCGTGCGCACCACCGTTGGGCGGTTGGAAGCCGCACACGGTCGCAGGGGTGGAGAGCGGAAACGGGCAGCCGGGGGAGGGTGGGGGCGGTTGGATGGGACTGGGGTGTACGGGGGGCAGGGGAGTTGAGGGGGCAAGGGGAGGGGCAGCAACCGGCAGGGGCTGGGCCAGCTCAGGGCATGGAAAAGGGGCGGGCAGAGGGTGAGCAGAGGGGCGAGCGATGCAAGGGAGGCACCATAGGCGGGAAACCAGTTGCACGGAGGTGGGAGGTGGGAGGTGAGGGGCGTGCGAGGGGGTGGGAAAGGGGCAGGGAGGGGCAGAATGGGAGGATGTGGGTGGGGGGTGGGGGAGGGGAGTGTGCGTGTGTGTGTGTGAGAAAGAGAGAGAGGGAGAGACAGGGAAGGGGAGGGGGGGAGAGAAGGGTGGGAGGGGGGCTGGTGGTGGGGATGGGCTGATGGTGGTAAGAGGGCAGCAGGGATGGGGAGAAGGGAGCGTAACGAGGGGAGAGCAAAGGGCAGGGGGGGAGGAAGGGAGGGGCAGGGAGGGAAGAGGCTGAACGTACAAAGGGGGGGAAACGAGGGGCATGGATGGTAGGAAACAAGGGCAGGGAGGGGAGAAGCAATGGGTGAGGGGAAAACAAGGGAGGGGCAGAGGGGGAGGGCAGGGAGGGAAGAAACGTGGGGCAGGGAGGGGAGAAGCCAAAGACAGGACCATGGGCAGGCGGGGGCAGGGAGGGAGCAAAGGAGAGGCACGGAGAAAGAAAGGGAGGCGCGGGGAGGGGAGAAACCGGGTGTGGGGGGGCGGAAAACGAGGGGCAGGGCGGGGAGGAGGGAGGGGCAGGGAGGGGAGAAGCTGAGCACACGGAGGGGGGAAAGGTGGGGCAGGGAGGTAGGAAGCCAAGGGCAAGGGGGGGAGAGTGGGGGGGCAGGGAGAGGGGGGAGGTGGGGGGCGGAGAAAGGCGGCGAGGGGCAGGGAGGGGAGAAACCAAGCATAGGGGGGCGAGATACGAGGGGCAGGGTGCGGATTGAGGAGGGGCAGGGAGTGGAGTGGGTCGGCGAGGGGAAGGAAGAGGCGTGCAGCAGAGGAGGGGAGGGGGGAGGAGAAGGTAAGCGAGGGGAGCGCACGGGCGGGGAGGAGCGAATGGCGGGCGGTGGGAAACGGCGAGGGGGGCAGGGAGGGTCAAAAGAGGCGGCAAGGGAGCGGGCACGCGGAGGGTAGGGGCGGGGGGAGCGGATGGCATGAGGGGGCAGGGGGTGTGACTATGAAGGGGGGACCCGGGCAAGGGGTGTGTACCGGTCGGGGCACGGGGTTGACGTGGTACGATCATACCTCGGCTACTACGCCGGATCCCATCAGAACTCCGAAGCTAAGCGCCGGTGGGCGAGAGCAGTTATTCATTAATAAGGGAAGAGCAAATACAAGCCGAATATAATGGTTTTTCCAAGACTAGGAAATTTCGACATAGCCTAAGCGCTATGAGGACGATATATATATTTTGTAGGAAAAGGGTGAAAGAAAGGAAAGGAAGGAAAGATGAAGGAGTAAGAAGAAGTGGTAGGGAAAGGAAGAGGGTGGTAGGAAGAGAAGGGAAGGTTAGAAGGGAACAGAAAGAGGGAGGTGGGAAGAGAAGAGGAGAGAGAGAGAGAGACTAAGGAGGAGGAAGCACCAAAGGACCAAACACGGCAGCAACCCGCACGACCGCATGGGCACAGCGTTTCAAGCACAGCCACTATTGTTTTTTACACATATGCATCATATATATACTGCATATCAGCCACACTCTCGAAGCACCCTGTGACGTGGTGCCAAGTTCCCTGCCCCGCACCCAGTGGGACTGGTGCGGGCATCCACCCGTCGTCGGACCTCCCTAACTGCCGCACCGCATGCTGGATCATGCATTGAGCCTGCGCGCGCTGCAGTGCAACGGAGAGGCGTGTAGTGAGTCCTGCCTCAAATATCCGTGCCGATCCGTCATCCCCCCCACCTCTATCCCTCCTCCGCTGTGCTATCCTCTTTGCGCAGAGCCCCAGAAACTGACGCAGCGGCTCACTCAGAAGGCCAAAGGTCTCGGCCACGCACGCGTAAAAGTGTGGTGCCGGCTGCAGCCCCTCTAAGTGCGGCCCCCAGTGACGCAGCTTCTCCTGCACCCGCCTAGCTGCTGCCACTCCAATCTGTGTGGGGGTCGCCCGTCTCAGCTGCACGTTCCCCTCCCGCTGTGGATCCGCTATGGAGACATCCACAAGAACCATCAGACCCTGGCCAACGTCGCGGCAGGTGAGATCTGGAATGCGGGAGGCGGTGCCTACACGGCCTGTGCGTCCGACTGGTCCCTGCTGTTGCGCTGGCTGCTGCCCTGTCTGGTCCCTTGGTGCCCCCTCTCCGATCGTCTCTCTCCCCCTCTCCTCTCCTCCATCCACCTGTCCTCTCCCCTCCCCCTCTCTACCCTCCCCCAAACCTCCCGACCCCCTTGCTCCATCCCCTGCTGCCTCTCTCACTCCCTGGCCCTCCCCTCCCAATCCCGCTGCCCCTCCTGTACCTCCGTCCGCTCTCTGCTGCTCCCGCCCATGCCCCGCCCCCGAGGCCGAACCTGGAGGCGCGGCGCCCTGGGCCCGCGGCCTCCACTGGCTCTCCTGCTGCTGCCTGTGCCGTCCCCCCTCCCCGTCCTGGCCCGTCTGCTCCCCCTGCCGTCCCCTCTGCCCACCTGTCCCTCGCTCCACCTGACCCCGCAGCTGGTGCCGTCCCCACTGTCCCCCGCCACCCGGCTGTCCCGCCACGCCTCTCCGCTCCCCCGGTCCCTCAGCCCGTGTCCCCTCTCCCACCAGTGGCTGTCCCAGTAGTCTCGCTCGAGCCGCCTCCAACTGTGTGAACAGCGTAGAGTCCTCCACCTTTACCGCGAAGCCTGCCTCGACCGCAAAGTCTCGAAGCATGTACTTCACCGTGTCGTGGATGGTAGTGGCGACCCCGTAACGCGGGCACCGAACCGCGTGATGAGGCACCGTCATGTCGTCAATCGCCTGTCCGCAGGAGCACTGACCTGCAAGGGCTAACTGGGGGATAGTTGCTGAAACTAATGATTGGGGAGGAGCCTAGACCGAGTGACCCCGCGCTGCAGGAAGATTGGGACGAGCGCTCCTCGGCTGGCTACTATTTGATGTCGCAGAGTTTGGAGCTGAACCAGCGTCACCACGTCATGCACTTGCTGCCGGAGGTTGAGTGCGGTCCGAAGGCGTGGACCGTGTTGAAGGAGCTGCACGCCCCAACCTCCGTTGTTGCAACGTTGATGCTGGAGAGGGAGCTGTCCGCGTTGCGCCTGAGCGAGGGAGAGCCGGTGCAACCTGTCCTGGACAAATTGCGCGACCTCTACGTTAAGTTGGCGACCGCGGGAATCACCTACCCTGAGCAGACCAAGTGTTTGAAGATGCTCTCGCTGCTGCCGGAATCGTGGCTTCAATTCACGAGCGGATTGAGCCTGCCGCAGAACCAGAGCTTGTGGACACTCGAGTGGGAGCGGACAAAGATTCTGGAGGAGGACTTCCGTCGCCGCCAACTGAGGGGTGGAGACGACAGCAGCAGTGGCTACGGAATGCAAGGGAGCCGACGTGGCAGGGGACGTGGCTTCGGTGGTGCTGGACGCGGTGCCAAGAAGGACGACGACTCCAACGACCAACAAGGAGGTACCGGTTGGGGTCGCAGTGCGAAATCTGGACGTGGGGGCAAGTCGGGTGCTGGTGGCAAAATGAAAGGGAGTTGCTGGTATTGTGAGAAGGAGGGGCACCCCTGGTTTTTGTGCTATAAGAAACCCGATGGATGGACCCCCCAGAATCGTCACCAGGATGGCGGCGCGCGGAGGAACCAGAAAAACGGCGCGAGCATGGTTGCCGATTCGTCCAACAACAACCAGAACAGCAACGGCAATGCGGAAAAGAAGAAGAAGCGCACCACGGGCCAGTTCTTCCATATTGGAGAGAAGGGGGAGCAGGGGGAGCAAGGAGATGCCTCTGCCAAGGTTGGAGCAGAGCTGCACCCCCTGGATTATTGGGTGTTGGACATGGGCGCTGCTTGGAGGATGACGCCGCGAAAAGACCTGCTGGAGCACGTACAAGCTGCACCGATCAACGAGGTGTGCTCCGCCTCTGGACACGCGCTGAAGGTGGCTGGTGTGGGACGAGCTGCGTTTAATGGAGTGGATGGCAAGCCGGTGGTGCTGCACGACGTTCTCCTTGTTCCTGAACTCAAAGCCAACCTCATCTCCCTCCGTAAGCTTGGCAAGTCTGGGGTGAGCAGTAGCACGGTTGGGGCATGCACTTACAAGGGGAAGCTGGGCAATCGGGTTCTTTGGGATCTGCACGAGAGCACTGACGTGTACAGATCCATGTGGCAGCTGCCGGCGTTGGCGTGGCATGGTCGGGGGCAGGCTGGAGAGGGGTCTGCATCCCAGGGGGTGTGCAACGCCGTTGGAGGGGTTGGTGTGAAAGTGTTGGCCAGATCTGGGGAGACGGATTGGGCAACGGCACACCGACGCTTGGAGCATATGGCAATGCCCTTGTTGAAGCAGTTGGAGAAAGATGGAGCCGTTAAGGGTCAGAAGCTGAACGGACAGCCACCTGATGAGAATTGTGAAATCTGTTTGCTCTCAAAGATTACCCGTTTCCCCTTCCATAGTGTGGCTGGCAGGAGCAAGAAGCAATTGGAGCTGGTCCACATGGACTTGGTGGGGCCGCTGCCGGTTCAAGGGCACAAGGGGGAGCGGTACTTTTTGACCATAGTGGATGATTGGAGCAGGCTTATGTGGGCATATCCGCTGAAGCAAAAGGACCATGCCGCCTCTACAATACGGGAAGATTGGCTGCCATTCGTGGAGAAGCAAGCAGAGTGTGTGGTGAAGCGGATTAGGACATATCGGGATGGTGAGTTCCTTGGAGCTGAGATGACGGCCTGGCTCACGAAGCAGGGCATCCAGAGGGAGCTGACCACGGCTTACACCCCACCGTCTAACGGTGTAGCAGAACTGGCGAACCGGACAATTCCGGAGACAGCTAGGGCGCTGCTCATAGAATCTGGGCTGGGCAACTTGATGTGGCCCCATGCTGTTCGGCACGCTACCGTCGCTAGGAACAGGTTACTCACCAAGGTTGGGGATAACTTGTGGTTGCCGTTGGAGAGGTGGCTTGGGAGGAAGCCGCCGGTGGACATGCTGAGGGTGTTCGGTTGCATGGCAGTCGCCCACGTCCCCAAGACCTACCGCAGTAAGTTGGGGGCAAGTGCAATCTGGTGTGTGCATTTGGGGCTGGCTGCTGAGAGCAAGGGATGGCTGCTGTGGGAACCTTCCAAGGGTGTGTTGTTTGACAGCAGGGATGTGAAGTTTGTTGAGGGCATGATGTATGGGAGCTGGGAGAAACAGCCGGAGGCCAGGGTGTCCCAGCAGATGGAGCAGATCACCATGCAGCTGGACCTGACTCCTAGTGTGTGGGAGGAGGGAGAGGAGGCAGCTGCAGAGGGTGGTGATGGAAAGAAGGTACAGGAGGCACCTGCTGGTGGAGAAAATGATGTGGAGACTGGCACTAGTGGAGCTGCTGGATCTGAGGGGAGAGAGCAGCAGCAGGGGAAAACTAAGAAGCCGAAGGGTGTCGTTATGAAGGGATGGGAGACACCCGTCTCCAGGCCAGGACGTACCCGTATGGCTACTAAGAACTTGACTGCAGGAGCTGATGTAGCAGAGCAGCAGCTTGGGACAGAGGAGGCATTGCTGATTCTACCGCATGGCTATGATCCGGATGAGGAGGATGAACCTGCCTACTGTTTTCTTGCCCCTGCACCAGAGGAACCAGCTAGCATGGAAGAGGCATTAGCTGGACCAGATAGGGAGAAGTGGCTGGTTTCCAGGGATGCTGAGTACCAGAGCCTGCTAGAGAATGGGACATGGGAGCTGGTGGTGCTGCGTGAGGGGAGGAAAGCCGTACAGTGCAAGTGGGTGCTAAGGATCAAGACCGATGACAAGGGACAGGTCACCATCTACAAGAGTAGGCTGGTGAGCAGTGTGGGGGTGCTCACCCCACCCAGCGCTGCTTTGGCCGCCTGACGGACGCTTGTCGTCAGCAGTTCCCCGAGGCTAGTGTGATCCCCCGCTGGGGAGAGCTGTCTAGGGCAGGCGTAGCTATCTTTGATCTTGACTTTGATGCTCTCCTTACTGCCATGTATGCTGTGACTATTAGTAATGAGGGTGACTGTTACCGGTGTTTCCCGCCCGACCCGGGCATTGGTACTGCTGCTCTAGGTGCTGATGAGGCTGCTGCTCTAGGTGCCAGTGCGTCCGCGCCCTCAGGTGCTGGTGAGTCTGCGCTCTCAGGTACCACGCCGGCTTCGGCCTCCCTCACCTTCACACTTGACTCAGGGGCTTCTCGCTCCTTCTTTCGAGACCGCACCACACTCACGCTACTTGGTCGACCAGTTGCAGTCTCCCTGGCAGACCCCTCTGGGAGTCCTGTCCTCTCTCACTTCTCCACTGTCCTCCCGTGTCCGGCGGCCCCCTTTGGGACCTTGTCTGGTCTTTACCTCCCCTCGTTCTCTACGAACTTGGTGAGTGGTGCTGACCTGCAGGATACGAGGGTTCACCAGTTCACTCCTGCGAGTCAGCGGATGACCCACTGCACGGATGCTCGAACAGGCCGACACCTGGCCACGTTTACACGTCGGCCGGGGTCCAGCCTGTATACACTGAACACTGCGTCTCCTCCAGTCACTGCGTCTGGTTAGGTAGCTGTGTCGGGTCAGGTGTTTGCTGCAGCGTCGAGGTCTGGTCCTGAGTCTGCCCCCTGCTCGTGTCGCCTCCTGTCTCACGAGACTCTCCTCTGGCACCACCGCCTTGGTCACCCCTCCCTGCTTCGTCCCCGAGGCATGGCTTCCCGTGTCCTTGTCTCTGGTCTTCCCCGGTCCCTCCATCCCCTTCCTCCGGGGCCTGGTCCTTCCTGTGTCACCTGTGTCGAGGGGCGGCTCCGAGCTGCCCCTCACGCCTCTCAGTTTCCCCCGACAGAGGCCCCGCTGCAGACGCTTCACATGGACGTGTGGGGCCCGGCGCGCGTCCGTGGACAGGGTCACGAGCGCTACTTCCTGCTGGTGGTTGACGACTACTCGCGTTACACCTCAGTCTTTCCCTTGCGCAGCAAGTGTGATGTCGCTGAGGTGTGTTGGTGTAAGGGCCTAATAAACTCAAGCTATTAAGACTTTAAAAAACTTAAAACCTCTCCTCGGGGTCACCTCCAAGGGTCATTGGGTGCCTGGTACAAGACCAGCCCCTATCCTCGGGTCCGAGTTTGTAGAGAGAGGGATCAAGAGGGACTAAGTCAAAACAGCAAGAGTACCTTGAACATCGCGCAGCGTTTTGTGCAGACCGTCATTCGGATTAAGCTGAGAATTTCCTATATCGAAGCTCACTCTAAGAGCTTTAAAATAAGCCAAGTTGCCTCGCGAAAAGTTCTGCCGTTACGAAGTTATGGCTCGGACAGCGTTAGCCTAGCGTTGGAGTGCTAGCGTACTAGCGTTGACTCGGGTAGCATTCCGCCGTTGCACCGCGTAGAAAGGAAATTCCAGCAAGGAAGGAATTCGCTTGAATCAATTTCACTATATCCAGGTGCAAACAGAGAAAGAATAAATAGTTCTAGCTAGCAAGGACCTTGGGAATAAACCTGGGAACAACCAAGGATGATCCCAAAACATTCCAAGCAACAGAACCAACCTGGCTGGACAAAACAGCAGGTGGTAGGTTGGTAAACAGCCTCTGGTTCTGTTTTTCCAACCTGGGAAAACAACAACCAGGTTCAGGTCCTAAAAACAGAACCTGTTTTGTCTTTGCCCAACCAGCCAAATGCTGGTTCCGCTGGTTTCCCCTGGCCCTGTAGCATGCAGATACAGACAAACAATATCCAACCTT